CGAGTTTGGGGCTGATATAGTCTTTGGTGGAGCTCGAGAATCTTCTAGACAGAGCGGCAGAAACGCAGAGAAGGCTGCGGCTAAGCCAATCACGGTGGGGCGCGCCTTCCAATTGCGCCTCACCGCCAAACGCGCCTTCCCCGGCAACGCCTAGTAGCGAGGGGCAGAACAATCGCGACGTTGTCGATGCACTCACACGATGCTTGTCTCGCCGGCGACACCGCATAATATCCTTCTAGAAACCTCGTTGCTATTATTGTCACCGTCTCGATGGAGAGCACGAGCTTCCCCGGCGGCCGTCGCAGCTTCCCCTCACGAGCGCGCGCGGAAGCTCAGAGCATCGGCCTCAGCCTCGAGCAGCCTTGTCCAGCCTTGCGCATAGCTAAACTTGTGTAGCTGCCTACATACCCGCTCCGCCATAGCAATCGCTGCTGCTGCCTATCCCATCGACGTAGCAAACTGCAGCTCGTTTCGCCAAACATCACCATTGCCGACGCCCGAGTTCCCAGCAAGCTCCGCGCGCTCACCTTCACCACCCAATACCGCCGCCTTTTACCACGTTCGAATAACAACATTGGATGCGAGGTGTCGGCTGAGTGGAGGTGTGACGTAGGAATAATCAGGAGCGCCAAACCTGGCTGGGCTACAACCTCAAGAGTGATATAATGTAAAGGTAGGTGTGGAGTCTATTGTCACAAGGATCCCAAGACCCTCAAGTGCATTGGAACATAGGGCGAGAGGGTTTCCCTTCCGAATTACGAATACATACCGCCCATCAAAAAGGCTCCGTCTGCCAGAAATCCAAGTTCGTAGGCGCAACCTGACCCAAAAACGTCTCGTCAAACCCAAACCCATAAGAACCAATCAAATCATACATGTTATACTCATTCCCCGCCGTCACATCCACACCCTCATCATTGCGCGCCGTAGCCGCTTTGACAGGATCAAACACAGTCGTGGCAGCAGGCGAAGCAGCCGGAAAGCCTCCCTGGGTCACAGACCCCGACGGCGTACCCGCAACATCCAGTCGTTTCAACAGATCATTGATACCTTGCACGATATGCGTAGTGATATGTTTCTCGTTCAGATTCTCCGCCACCTTCGCGAGAAAAGAAGAGGAGCGCCGCGATAAGGATAGGACTTGGTTAATGTTAAAGTTGAGACCTAGACCAACGGGTTCGGTTGCCCACTCTGGCGATTGCACTTGTGCCATGCCACCCCAGGTCTTTGCCATTTTCAACAGGAAAGTAGCGCAGAAAGCGACCATGGTGTGCGTGAAGATGGGTACTGCTGTCATGGCCTTGCGCAGATCAGGCTCCTCGAAGATTAGGGTGAGGGTGCTGGTTGCGGCTGTAATGGCGATGTTGGCTGCTTCGCGGCGGTCGTAGGAGAGTGATTCCGATGTGGCTGCGCTGGGTGGTGGGAGAGCACGCAGCGCGAGGGAATTCAGTTGGAATCGGGCGAAGTGGTAGTATAGTACCACGCCTTTCGATGGGTAGGATCCGATGGATGGGCTGTCGGCGGATCGGGCTTGCCATGCGAGCCGCCATTGTTCGATGGCGAAGTTGAAGAGGCGGAGCTGTTGAAAGTCGGGTTCTGTAAGCGGTTGCTCTGGATCGCTGCCGTAGGCAATGTATGCTTCTGTCAGGATCTTGAACAAAGTAACTTGAGCTCCCAGTCTGATATCTCCTGGGGTCGTTTTGGGACTGTCGAGGAAATTCTCAATGTTCTTGATGGCAATGTCTTCGTGGACGATAGATGGTCGCCCGTATGCGATGCTGAACTGTTTGTCGCAGACATACAATGCGTACCATAGACGCACGTTATCGCGCTGGTCCTCATGCCCTCGCATCAGCTTCTGGTACGACATATGCAGATTCATCTCCACGGCGTTCCTCACAGCCAGGCCGGCCAACTTCCAGCTCAAATTCGAGAGATAGAAAGCGGCAAGAGCCAGCGCGCGGATGTCATCCAGATTCTGAGGCCGAGCGAGAAAGGCACTGTAGACTAATGAAACGAAGATGTTGTAACATTTCTGCAATGCTTCGTCTCGACCAGGCGTGTGTAGTGCGGAGATGGTGAGCACAGCCGCAGTGAGAAGAGTGGACTGGCGACGGACTGCATCGAGAGAGTCATACGGGAAAAGTACACCAGCCCAGAGATAAAGCCGAATGTCCTGCATATACCGTCTGAACAGGTCCTCAGCTTCCGGTAACGACACAATGCCTTGAGCTATGAAGTCCTCCTCCACAGAGTTGGAATTGGGCTTCCATCGCACGCTACTCCGAAGGTTCCGGATCCGGGTAAGGTCGTATAAACTCTTCATGGGCGCTGTCACCAAGCCAGACTCTTCTCCAGACTCGCGTTCGACAGAGGTATCTCTCGTCATATCCATGGGCGGCGGAACAACGAACGTCGCATGTCCGCTCTCCGACATGACGTTTGTCGGGCTGATGGTCATGGTACGTCCTGCTGAATGCGGCGGCGTGTCTTGACTAACTGGACTATCCAAGCCGGGCAGTTTGTTGTGCTGCAGCAGACGCTGCACCGCAGAGCGCAGCTGCGACAACTCGGCTGTCGCATTTGATTTCCAACTGAAGAACTTAGCGATGGTAAAGAGAGCACGTGTGACATTGACCTACGCCGCATCTTCATCCAAAAGCCGTTGATTCAAATTATAAGGAACGCATTCCGTCCCGCTGCGCAAACACTTTGCGCATTTCGCTTCATTGTCGACAGGCTCACATTTGATCTTGTGTCTTTTACACTCCGCACCTACAACAACACATTGTAAGAAAAAAAAAAGAGAAGCAATAATGAAGTGGGGCGCGGTCCATGAACTTACAAGCTCTAATCCTCGGCGTTCGTGGTGCAGGTCGGCGCCCATCCTCATGCTCCGCATCCTCACTCGGACGCTTCAGTGGAGACATATCCAAGGGGCCATGGCCATCGGAGCTGCAAGAGATGGAAATAGTCGGAGATCTTTGCGATTTCACTTGCGGGCTTAGAATACCGTGCTTGCGTTGCTTTCGTGCTCGTGACGTGCTGAGATTATTTGGGAGGCTAGCCAGCCATCCTGAGCGGGATCTGGCGCTTTGCCGCATGCGGTGGCGGGGTGGGGTTGTCAGCTCGAGTCGAGCCGTGTGTGAACTGCGCATGTTCCCCACCGGCTTGCCTTGTTGCTATTAACCTCCCTTTCTACCTGGTATAAGAGCCGATGGATAAATCCGGAAAATCTCAGGGGTACGGTGGCTAGTATTTGTGGCAAGGCGCACGCTTGTAGAAAGCGACGTAGACGTCGGGGTGCCTTGGAGACGATTTCACAGTTCGACTCAGCTTCACCTAGACGATACACGTATGGCGCATGGATACTCTTTTTGCCATTGCCTATCTACAATGATCTCAATGGTGAGGTTCGAAGAAGCTGGCATTGATGGTATCACCAGCCTCGTCAACAGAATCCTAACCCATGTTACCCCCACCAGAATCATCTTGGTCATCGTCGAAGAAGCCAACCATATGAGTGATACTATCAAGGTAATGCTGTGGCCCGTGCATTTGTAGCTGGAGGCGTACAGTCCTGTGAATCACAGAACCATTGTGGCTGAGTTGATCACGTTGGGGGTTAGGAATGGCTTCGTCGGCTCCAGTTCTTACCGTTTGCCCAAACATGTCGTCAGAAATATGTGGACCGGCAGTGGAAGGAGCCTGCACACCTTCCCCCGCTCCAACCGGCACAATGCTACGGTTCACAGCCGTGATCATTATATTCTCGGCGATGCTGTTGGCCAAATCTATATCTTCGCGCGTGATGTAACCTGTGGCCAGCCCTTCCGCAAGGTCGCGAGCATCCAGGTAGCAGTCGATCGTAACTTCGTTAGCAAGCTCCGATGTACGTCTCTGCACAGTCTCGATTGCACTTTCAAGCAGATTGCCCACGAGTGGACCGATTGTAATGACCTGATGCGGAGTGAGCATTGAGATGAATGCCTCGTTTCGTGCGCTGGTAATGAAGTTCAAATCATCAGCTGAAAGACGTCCTAGGTGAACGGTACCGTGTGCATGTGGGTCATGACCTGGGAATGTAGTATACGTAGGAAGGTTGACAGGCTCCTGGGGTACACGTACGTCGCCGTAGCAAAGTGTACGATCGATAGGGCAAGTGTTTAGATGAGGGTTACCGGACTTCCACCACGATTCGATGCAAATTCGGTGGAAGAAGTGTTTGTCGCCACAGGCCTTCGTAACGACTGCTTCCATGTCAGCCTGACCATCTGTATCGGATGTATGCTCATTTGCTGGATCGTAGACAGGAGGCGCGTCCTCTAATGACTCCTGGCAGATAGCACACTTCTCACCAGAGGGCGAATAGCGAGCTTCGAGAGCGGTGGACAGCGTGAGAGTGTGTGGGTCGACGGTCATTGTTATGCGTTGGGACTGTGTGACGGGCTGCGCTGATCAGGAGAAAAATAATGATTCTGTTCACATGCCGTCGGAGAGGTTGTATTGTGAAAGACTTATGATGAGTCGCAACCTGCCGCATAGTGTTCATCCATCGCTTCCTGTCATTTCACAGAGTCTAGACGGGTGTTTAGTCGAGGTTGCCTTATCCAATCATGGAGCAGTTGGGATTGACCGAGCGTGAAGGTAGTACCAATACTACGCATGATGGTTACGCATGCTTCAATAGGTCAACTGAATGAAGTTTTTATATATTAGGCGCAAAGGAGAGACCTACGCACTCCTCTCCGGTGGACCACAGTGTAAAAAAGGAATGTATGATGCAATACGAGGCTGACAAGTGCGCTGATTGCTCGTGATCTGTGGGGAAAAGAAGAGGTTATCTGTTCCAATGTTCTTTGAGAAATGACATGTCGAGAGAAAGGTGGTGTACAGTTGAGCGCTCCGGGGGCGCGACAGCCTTGGAAGCTAACGCGCTAGCGTGCTTAGTCATTGGCGCGTCGCTCATTTGGCAGGCGTCATCCGGCACCAGTCGTCCCTCACCGAACGCAGTCCGGATGCAATTCGTGCGCACACTCATTACTACCCAGTTCAGGTATCATTTCTGCCTCCCAAAGTTCGCTATCGCCGTGCTTAGCGGGGAGCTCGTGGAAAGCCATACCAGCCAACTGTGGAGTTGAATACAGCGCGTCGTGCGCTCCCTTGTCAGCTGCCAGCGCTGTATCTGGCTCCCGCATCCGCCTGGATTTCCGTACCACAGACCATATACATACGGCGCAAATCAACATCGCTGCCACGCAGCCAAGGACGATCCCAGCTATCATACCACCCGAGAGGCCTGGCTCCTTAGCCGCTCCGTTATCACTATCCTTACCTGAGATCGTTACAATCTCAGGCTTTACGTCGTCCCATTTTGCTGCGCTGACATTGAATGTGCCAGCCTCGAAGTCAACGCCGATGTAGGCTTCTTGTAGAAACGCCCTGCCTATAGCATACTGGCTTTCGTTATCAGCTCTTCGAATCGGGAAATAGTTCGTCGCGTTCGCAAAAATCGGATATCCTGCCTGCAAGTCGAAGGCCGCGTATGGAAGTTGGACTATGGTAGTGTTGCCACCCGTGACAGCGTTGGTACCGATGGTGAACGCTAAGGTGGGATTGAGTTCCCGGAGTCGATCCCTGGCCGAATCTGTGAGGACATACCTCCCAGACCTTTCATGATACTCCAGGCCAAATGCAGATTCGAAGCGGTCGCAAACAGATTTGGGGAGCCACATGTCTGGAATGGACGAATCGATCGGGGCTAGTATCCGTTCGTTATCAACCATCGAAAGTGTTCCGTTCAGCGAATCGGTCACTATGATATCCTGGAGTCCGACTGTAAGAGCTTTGGACAGATCGGAATTGATGTCGACCGTCAAGGGTTCTGACGAGCGTGACAGGTCGTATCCTCCGAGAACGAGACTGGCGGGTATTCTGGTTTTGCGATACGAAGCACCAGCTTGATATCCATACGATAGACTGGGTATATGGCCCTCATCTTTGAGGGCTGACATCAAAGATGGCGAGCTTATTGTCTCTGAGAAGTTCAGTGGCAATGGCGATAGTCCCATCTGACCGATCCAGAAACCGGGTGAGGCATAGGCGGTGATCGCCTGACCCTCCATTGTGAAGTCGTTCAGTTCAACACTGTCGAATCCTTGGAGGCCATTCCCGTTGATTTCGTGGATCCTTCCCATTCCGAGTTCATAAAGGCCAATGGTTTTCCAGGTTGACGACATATTCGCTTGAAACCCAGGACTCGGACGTTGTTGAAAAGGCGTCACACCTCGAGAGTTGCCACACGAAGCCGAGCCGTTCTGCAGCCTCATACACTCATCAGCGATGGGAAGCCAGATGTTTGCAGCTTGTGTTGCAGGCAACACGTTGAATGTCTGTGGTGGACTTCCCACATGAACGAGGAACCTATCATTGTCAGCACGAGCATGGGACACTTTCGCAACGTGTGAGAGACGCACGTCGACCAGCTTCCGTCATTACCAAACCAGCCACCCGATGCTGCAAGTGAGAGCGCTCCTGCCATATTGCGAAAAGCTCTAGGCTGAGATGAACAACGCTCTTTTGCATGTGTCTAGGACTGAGCGCAAAGTAGCAGGAAAGTACTCTACCTGTATCATTGAGCCTATATTGGACTGCAACCGAACTTCCAACTTGCTGACTGTGTTCTTCCCTGCAATCAAAGGCACAACCCGATGATTGGCAGGCTGTGCAGAACTCCCCAATTTTGCTTCCTGCAGATGCAATCAAAGGTTATTGTATATTTCCAGATTAAGACAATGCAGCGCACTCTGACCAACCACAACTGTCGTGCCCAGACTACTGTTGGGGGCCAGTCGCGAGGCTGAGCAACGTTGCGTAGCAAATTCATCGTCAAGACTATTGCAAAGAATGCATCGCATCTAGTCTGCTTCGCCACACTGCCTACCGTCGCCTAGGTGGATATAATAAAATCGACACCGATGAACACAGTCACTACGACGTTGCACCTTCCACCTTCCGATTGCCCATAGCCAACATGTACTCACAATACTGGTCGATAGTGATCAGCTTTGTCGCTCTGCTCTATTCAGGTAAGTTCCCGGTTCGCCAGATACCCTGTAGGCTCAATTGGACTCATAGATTGTAGACCCTGGAGTTGCTGCGAATGTTGCTCCCTCACCCATGATAAATTCAGCATGTAGTGTACTCATCTCAACCTTCAGCTATGCGACTACTACCGATACTATGCTACGTGAACCAACCACCGAAACATATATTGAGGGGTGGGTTTATTTTGTCTACATAACTCCATTCAGCAACGGCACAACATTGACCAGAACCGTGTACGACGTTCGGCACACGACCGGTGCGAATCTTGAGAAAAGGGCGGAAACGACTGCTACGATGTCCTTTACGTAGGCTTTCCCCTAGCAAGGCTAGCAACCTACTGATAGAGCATAGAACACCCCATTCTGTCAACAGTTCTATCGCAACGACTGCTGCGGTGTCCTTCACGTATGTTCTTCCTGGCTAGACCAGAAACAAACTGATACAGCATAGAACACCCGGTCTTGTTAACAGCTCTATCTCTGCCATACCAACCCCGACCGAGCCCCAGATAACCTGCTCGACTTCGATTTCGACATTCACGGTGACTTATACTGACGTTACAACGGAGCCGGTACCTATTGAAACCATTACGCTCACCGCGATCACTGCCTCGACACTATTCGACTATAATTATCTCATCCCAGCTACTTTTCAGCCGATCTTGGCAGAGCCCACGTGAGCAGTAAATCCCTAACGGTGCTGTATGTAGCTAATCAGACAAAAGTACCTCTAGTAAGGCTATGCTGAATACCCAGACCGCATCCACCAAACTCAAACCTTCGGATAACGCCCCTACCGCTCCCACCGATCAGCCGAGCAGACCGGAAATTTCATCGGTAAAGTTCACTGCTCCTGCATTACCTCAGGGTACGCCTCCAGGTAATTCAATAGCGACATCTGGTGGTCCGGTGCGACCGATACCAGGAGTACCTATGCGACCTCCAGGTGGAATACCTGCGTTACCCGTGAATCCTCCAATCACCACGACGGTTCTCAGTCCGGGCGAACTGCAGACCATGTCTCTACCGGGCCTTGGTGCTGTTGTAGTTGAGCCGTCTCACTCGGGTATCATGATAAGCGGTGCTGCAAGTATGATCGTTCCTGGACAGCAAACCAACATCAACGATGTTGCAATCTCGTTCGACACCTCCGCTTCGTTCATTGTCATAGATGGTAGTGCGACGTTCGGGCTTCCTCCACCGATTCCGACAACTCCACCAGCACCTATCGTACTCGGCGGGACGACCATTAATCTTGATCAACTCGCTACACGACTGGATCCGGGCGAAGTCACTACCATCAACAACCTTCCCATTTCCCGAGATACGTCGGCTTCGTTCGTGGTCGTGGGCGGCACCCAGACGATTCCGCTACCGGAATCAATCCAAGAGTCTGGCCCATCTGCAGTGATCGTAGGCGGGACGACTGTCAATATCAGCGAGCTTGCTTCTGAACTCGAGCCTGGTGAAGTAACCACCATCAATAACATCCCCATCTCAAGAGGCGGTTCGGGTTCTTTTGTGGTCATTGGTGGCACCCAAACCATTCCGCTACTGGAAACAACTCAGACACCCGGTCCATCTACAGTGGTCATAGATGGAACTACCGTCAATGTCAGTGAGCTTGCGTCGGAACTGGAGCCAGGTGAGGTGACCGTCATCGGCACTATGACCATCTCACGCGATTCTTCCGCTTTAATTGCTGGTACAACAACGATCGCGATTGATGCAGCAGCAAGCAGCGTAGTCATCGGTGGTACAACGATCTCTCCGGGTGCTCTTCCTCCTGGGTTCTCTTTCATTCCTGCGACTAATGGTGGAGGCTTGCTTTTACCAAACGGGCAAACTTTGATGCCTGGCGCCATGACGACAGTTAGTGGTATCGAGGTTTCACTCACTCCTGGAGAAACACCTGTCGTTGTGGTTGAGGGATCGATGTCCATCACCGCATCTGTTACCGCGGATGGCAACGACGGCAACTCTATCAACAGCGGTAGCGGCGGTTTCGGACAGCCGACGAGCACTACCACAGGTGTACTGGCGGATTTCACTGGTGGTGCGATTGCGAGCGTTCATGGTGTTTGGGACGCGCTGTGCACATTGGCTATGACATGCTTGTTTTTCGGTATCGTGCAACGTTTGGTCTGATGTTACGCACTAGTTCTCGGTATGCATTTGGGCTAAAAATCTGGAAATCGCAAGATTCTCCTGATAAACCATCAATCATGGCATAGGTTCTGCAGTTGGGTGATGCGTACGTGCCCGTGGAGGCTGTTGATGGTGATGACGTAATTACGGGGTCCAACTTCCCGTGTTCAGCTCGCAAGGTCTGCCTAATTGGTCCTCCCTCAGCCTCTCGCGAACGCATGCGCATCCTTCACACGCACAATGCTTACCACTAAGACGACTTTAGCATCAGTGAGGGCTGGTATATACGAGTGCACTCATGCGATGCCTCCACCAGGGCGTAAGCCGCTTTTCGACCATGAAGTACTTACTGATGCCGTACCTACCTGGGACGGCCAGAACTGTGCACTCTGCTTTCTCTCCTTGACGCCATGACCTCGCAACCTCACCTAGAAGATGAACACTCTATATCGAGTACCGATGCGCAGCATGCAATGCTTCAACAAGCACAGGCCGCTGCTTCTGCCGTCCAGACTGAAACCGCAGGATCAACGCGACACGACACCCCTTTGCAAACGACTGACCTCATCACTTCCGATGCGATAGACGAGGAAGTTCCGCCTCCTCCATATGGCGACATCTATGGCGAGATCCGGAACGAAAAAGATGGCCTAGGCACCAGCGCAAGCGTCACCGAAGACGGCCGTGTCAATATCCGCATCAACCAGCTCAACCGACGTTTATCCCAAGTCTTTACTCCAGCTTTACGTGAACACGTTCAGAGTGTTCAAGACAGCAGCCCGCCTCCTCCTGCATACATCCCACCTTCATTAGGAGGTAAAGAAGGAGTTCCACCCCCAGCCCTGAATGTGGTTATCCAGGTCGTCGGCTCGCGCGGAGACGTGCAACCTTTTGTTGCTCTCGGGAAAATCTTGAAAGAGACCTATGGCCATCGTGTACGTCTGGCAACTCATCCTACATTCAAGAAGTTTGTAGAAGAGAACGGTCTTGAGTTCTTCAGCATTGGTGGCGACCCTTCTCAGCTGATGGCTTTCATGGTCAAGAATCCTGGGTTGATGCCAGGTTTCCGCAGTCTGGCCAGCGGAGATGTCGGTCGCCGAAGAAGAGATGTCGCGGAATACATTCAAGGCTGCTGGCGATCGTGCTACGAAACGGGTGATGGGATGTCCGACGACCACGGTTCAGATCGCTCCGCAAACGACGCCGGTTCTTTCCCTTTTGTCGCGGATTGTATCATTGCCAACCCACCGAGCTTCGCACATATTCATTGCGCAGAGAAGCTGGGAATACCCCTTCACATCATGTTCACCATGCCATACTCTCCCACCCAGGCCTTCCCCCACCCTCTGGCGAACATTCAATCTTCTAATGCTGATACTCAACTCACCAACTACATCAGCTACGCTATGATCGAAGCCCTCTCATGGCAAGGCTTGGGCGACATCATCAACCGGTTTCGCGCTAAGTGCCTCGGCTTAGAGCCCGTGAGTATGATCTGGGCCCCAGGAATGCTCCAGCGCCTCAAAGTTCCTCACACATACTGCTGGTCTCCAGCTCTGATCCCGAAACCGAAGGACTGGGGCTCTCACACATCCATCTCTGGTTTCTACTTCTTGAATCTGGCCTCTAATTACACGCCTACGCCTGAGCTGCAGAAGTTCCTCGACGATGGACCACCGCCGGTGTACATTGGTTTCGGAAGTATTGTTCTGGACGATCCAAACGCAATGACGGAACTCATCTTTAAGGCCACGAAAAAGATTGCAGGCGGAAGACGTGTACTGCTTTCTAAGGGTTGGGGAGGTATGGGTGCGGAAGAACTTCGCGTTCCTGAGAACGTCTTCATGTTAGGCAATGTGCCGCATGACTGGCTTTTCAAGCACGTCGAATGCGTCGTTCATCATGGTGGTGCAGGGACTACAGCGGCAGGCATCGCAGCAGGTGAGTTATGTGCCTACTGAGCAACCGACCAACGAGAAGCTGACCTGTTGACTTTACTTCAGGCCGACCTACGTTAGTCATACCTTTTTTCGGCGATCAACCTTTCTGGGGCGCAATGATCGCGGGAGCTGGTGCCGGCCCCGATCCAATTCCTTACCGACAACTCACATCGGACAAACTAGCAGATGCCATCAACTTTTGCTTGAAGCCCGAAAGTCTCGAGCGTGCCAAAGACCTTGCAAGTAAGATCGCTACGGAACGAGGTTGCGACATGGGCGCTCAGTCATTCCACCAGTATCTCGATCCCGACCGACTTCGTTGCAACCTTGCACCATCTCGAGTAGCCGTGTGGCGCATCAAACGCACTCAAATCAGACTGAGCGCTTTTGCCGCCTGCACATTGGCTAATGCCGGTCTTTTGGATTTCCATGACCTCAAGCTCTTTAGGGCACAGGAGTATGAGACTGATGAGGGTCCTTTGGAGCCAATCTCTGGATTCGGTATGGGAATACTGAGAACGTTGGGCAGCATGAGTATGGGGATAGCTGAGATGCCTTCAGAAACGGCGAAGGCTGTACAGGCTCCTTTTGGACCTAGTAGACAGCAGTCTGACACATCAGTACGAAACGCCGCAAAGAGGAGCGAGTCGTCGCTAGTAGGAGAGAGCTCCGCTTCACCAAGCTCACAACAACACCCCCATCCCAGTGCAATGGAGCAGAAACCGCTTGCCCGCTCTCAGACCACCCCCAACCTCCCCACTCCGGTATCTCGGACTCCCAGCGTAGCATCCAGCTCGAGCAAAGACAACGACATGCTACGCCCCACTGGCCTACGCACAAGCAGAGGCTTCGGACGCATCGTAAAAGCCGGCGTGCAATCCCCCATGGAACTCTCCGTCGGCATAACCAAAGGCTTCCACAACGCACCCAAACTCTGGAACGACACCACCGTGCGCCCCCAAGAAAAAGTCTCTGACCTAAAATCTGGCATGGTAGCCATAGGCCGCGAATTCGGTTTCGGTTGGTACGACGGCGTCACCGGTCTATTCACACAGCCCTGGAAAGGTGCCCAGAAAGAAGGCGCCAGTGGTTTCTTCAAGGGCGTAGGAAAGGGGATTGGGGGGTTCATAGCTAAGCCGGGGGCGGCGCTGTTTGGGATACCGAGTCATATGATGAAGGGGGTGCATAAGGAAGTGCAGAAGAGGTTTGGGAGTAGTGTGCAGACGTATATTGTTACTAGTAGGACGGCGCAGGGGTATCAGGAGTGGGTGCAGAGTGGGGAGGAGGAGAAGGAGGATGTTGTTGAGAGGTGGGGGTTGATTCAGAAGTATTTGAAGAGGAAGGATGGGCTTGATGAGATGATGAAGGATGTGCTGGATGCGCAGCGGCAGGGGAAGGCGGGTGATGAGTCTACCGCGGATTCAGTCTGGTCTGCGGATGCTTCGATCCAAGATCTCGAAAGTGCCACACTCACCTCGGAGTACGATTCGCAAACTACGGATACCGAACTTGAAGTACCGCTCGGAGCGGCGGAGACCAGCGGGTCTATCCACCAGCCAGTACAAGATACGCCGTGCGCAGGCGCTGAAGCGGAATCCAGTGAGGAACTACTCCATGCCATGGCTTCCAGCGAAGTCGAAGCGCAGCGACTATCAAGAGAAGCCCTGGAATACGAAGAACAGCTGAAGCAAGCCATGGCGCAAAGTCCGAAAGAACAGCGTCAGATGAACGAAGACAATGGATGGGAAGAGCTCGATAGGGAGCGAGTAGGAACATCGGAGCAAATGGCAGCTACAACGAGTGATGCATCGCCAGGCGCCCATCGACCCCCTTCATATGATCCTGGCCATGTCGCAGGCACAACGCAAGGTGAATACCAGGCGCAGCACCGAGGGGAGAAGACGATGGAGGGTAAGACGGAAGAAGAGATTGTGATGGCGTATGTCAAGAAGCAAAGTCTTTTAGAGGCGCACCATCAGAGTAAAGGCAAAGGGCGGGCTTCGGCTGGGGTGGATGAGGACGAGGAAGAGTTGCAGAAGGCGCTGAGCTTGAGTATGCAGGGGCATGAGTGAAGCCTGGAAGAGCGTAAACAGGCTGATTCCATATCGCATCTCTCATAAGATATATACACATTGTTGATACATGATTCTTCTCTTACATTGCCTTCATACCGTTCGTTCCTCATGCCTTCGAAGTCTCAGCCGCCATCATCCTACTCGGCGCCTTAACAACAGGCGCCTCGTCTCCGGGGTTACCACGGAACGTCCACGTCCCATCCGCCACCTGATCGTCCGTAGCACTATCCAGCCTCTTAAGCTCTCTCCGCATATATCCCACAATCTGGGCCAGCTTCTCAAAGTCAACATCCTCCTTCGCGCCGAGCAGATTACGCCAGATAGCCGCCGCAAGCATAGCGTCGCCCTTCATCAGCCCCTCGTCATACGACAGCAGCACCGCCCGCCACTGCGAGAACATATCTTTGAGATGCTTCTGACGCAGCGAATTGGCGTTGAACTTGTGCCATATGACCAGTCTGTCCTCGGCGGCGTAGAAGGCTTGGTTGGTGAGGTGCTGGATCCATACTGGCGCGTGTGACTGAGGGAACATGCGGAAGCGGACTTGCAGCATGTACATGTGGATGAAGGTGATTTGGGCCCAATTCGAAAAGGTTGGCTTGAGTCCGAGGGCTGTGCAGAATGTGTTAGCGAAAAAGGCCTGGGTATCCTCATTGTGAGTACTTACTGTCATACCACCATCCTTCGGCCTCGCCCAGGTGCACACCGTTCTCGTCGACGGGTATCTCGCCCCGCTTTAGCAGCGCTTGGGGTATCTTGTATTCACCGGGCTTTGTGCATTCCTTGATGAGGTCCCGTGTTGCGCCATATGCGACGTACGTCTCGGTCATGAGTGGCGCCTTTTCGCGCAGCTTCTGGGCGAGGCCCGTCACGCCAGATACAACAGCGGGATGCGGCTTCTTGATCGCTTCGGGCCTGACATCTGCTGACAGCGATTGCGAGGCATGATAGGCGGTGGGTGAGGTGGTGGAGATTGTTCGACGTGCTTGGCGCAGAGACGCTCGATTCGTTCGCTACCAGAGTCAATTATCCGCTTTGGGGAAGGGGTCGTGGCTGTGTACCTGGAGCAGCGAGGTAGAGGACCTCAAGAGGGCCTTGGAGCAGGCTGTGCAGGTGTAGCTGGACGACATGGCTGGCCGTGTGGGTTGGGACGGGCGTGGGCTGCTAGAGGGTCAAAAAGTCCAGAAGTCGCGAGTCGCGCCCTCCATCGATGACGGCACGACCCCGGCGTACGGTGGACTAAATCAAGAGGTCGTGCAACAATTATTTTTGCCCCGCAGAAAAATTAAAATCTCTACCTACCTAAAACTTACTACCTTAACTACTTTTATATAAGAGCGTAATACTACTATACTTAGTATATAAAATATTATTTTATATAGTATATATACTAATATCTTTAGCTAGATACTTTATTATTAACCTAAAACTCTATAGAGATAAACTTACTAAACTATATAGTATAAGCTATATAGTAGAAGAGTTAAAATTCTAGCTAAATACTAAGCGCTAAATATATATATTTATTTATATAATTAAGAAGTAGCTAAAGAAGTAGAAGTTAAAGAAAAAAATAGAACTAGAGATAGAAGAGTATCTTAAGTAGCTTATATAGTACTTCTTTTATAAGTTAAGACTTTATAATAAAGAAATACTAAAGAAGCTTAAAGATAAAAGCTATAATATCTTAAAGTAAACGTTAATTTATATATAGTTCTAGCTTAGATTAAAGAAAAGAGCTATAAGTATAGATTTATAAGTAGTAGTTGTTATAGACTAGCCTTAGAGTTAGAATATACTAAGTGTTAATAGAATATTATAAGGCTTAGAACTTAAGAGGCTATATACAGAATTTAGAGGTTTGTGTAGCAAGTCTAGATCTTACCTATATCTTCTTTGTTCTAGCCTAGGCTTAGGCAAAGCCTAAGACTATTACATACCTCTAAACTTGCCTCTATTATATTAGTTAGAAAAGCAGCGCAGCGTTATAGAGAATGCCTTTACGCTAAGATTATAGGCCTAATAGGCAACGCGTAAGAGTAGGTCTGCGCGTATAGAGTTTTTAGACTATATAAAAATTTTACCTATATAACCTCTACTACGCCTACGCATAGAGTTACAATAACTCTAAACTATATCTAGACTAAGGTTGCATTATAATTTTTTATAATTATAACACAGCTTTTATCTAAGGCCTTACTTACACTCTAACGCAACTTATCTTTATTCTAACCTACTCTAAATTCTTTACTTTATAACTTCTATACTTACCTCTTTTAAAAACCTATTAGTTCTAGACTACGTCTACACCTCTTATTATAAGGTTCTATATTATTCTTACCTAGCTTACAGCCTTAGTGCTATTTACTTTAGCTAGTTCTCTTAACGCGTAAAATAGTAGCACTAGTATTACTACCGCTAGCGCCTCTAGCGGCTAAGATCTAAGAAAGCTAACTAGTCTCTCTAGGCACAGCTTCTTCTATAACTCTAAGGTAAGAGCTCTAATTAGGTCTAGACTATGCTCTAACTAACGTATAATAGAGTAAGCAGCGCTGCCTAGACTAGTACAAAGTTAAAGGCAACTCTAATAACTCTAACTTTGCTAAGGCTAACTCTAAGAATTACTTATATATTCTATATATTACGCTACTCTCTTAGTTTAGAAAGTATAAGTGCGAGTCTAGTGCTAGTTTATTCTATTTAGGTTCTCTTAAGAGTCTAGACTATAAGCTAACTTCTTCTAGACTCTTTATATTCTTTCTATAGCTATTATAAGGCAAAGTACGCTTTATATATGCTTAAGTTCTTTATTAACTCTAAGCTGCGCTGCGCGTTCTGCAATTAGAACTACTATATTAAGCAGAGTACTAAGCGCGGGAACGCCTACATTATAGATCTAGAGATATATAGTACTATATAGTCTATAACTAGAACTATACTAAAGTTTGCGCTGCGCTTTTACGTTCTCTACTGCTACTTTAAATTAACTCTCGCTATAGCTAAGTAAGGCTCTAGTCTAGCTACCTCTTATAAACTCTCTACTTAACACTAGTATAAGGCTTTACGTCTATCTAATAACTAGATATCTCTATTTAATCTCTCTTAGAGGAACATAGTTATTTCTATAGTATCTAGTTATAGCTTAAATAATTTAAATAATCTTGCGCGTTTTATTAGCAGCGCTCTAAACGTTATTAGTAGTTAGTTTTAGTAGTAGAAGAATATATTTAGTAAGATTATAGTATAGGCTCTAACTTTCTCTACACTATCTATATATTAACTTTTATTAGAACTAACTTCTACCTAGCACGCCCTTAAAGCACTGCTACTAAGTAGACTATCTGCCTCTAAGCAGCTCTAGTTTCTACTACTAAGCCTACTAGATTAATAACTAGCCTAAGAATAAATATAACTTAGATAATAAGAAGTATAGAGTCTCTACGCGCTGCGCTAACTACTATACTAACCCCTCTTATAACTGCCTTTAAACTACTAGAGATACTACCTACTATAGTTACTATTGTGTTAATATCTAGCCTAGCGCTATTTCTTTTCTAAACTTAAGCGCGTAAGCTCTCTCTACTATATATAAGCAGCGCAGCACTTCTAAGCGCAGTACTCTAGTACCTATCTCTGCGCAGAATTCTCTAGCGCCTTATATAGATATAGTCTACTATAGCACTAAAGCCTATAAGAATATTAAGTAGAACTAGAATAAGCTAATAGAGAATTTTGCTAAGCAGCCTAGTAACTCTAGACTAGCTCTAGACTCTGCTCTATCTACTAACTTCTCTACCTCTAACTAACTCTAGCGCTATATCTTAATATTGTCTAGCTAGCTCTTGTCTAACTCTAAGTCTAAGGCTAAATTAGAGGCCTACCTTTTCTAGATTCTGCTATTATTAACTTCTAGTAGTAACACTCTGCGCTAAAGCTCTGTTAAGCAAGAGACCTCTCTGCTACTATATAATAACTATTCTACGCACTACTATGTTAAAGGCTAACTTATTCTAGAGCTACCTCTCTAGAGCTTTAGCTGCGTCTAGAAGTAGCTTCTACCTAAGAAGAAGCCTTCTCTACTTAAGAAGAATCTAATTCTACCTAAGAAGAACCTATAATAGTAGCTAGAGTAGAAGTTTTCTAAGATTAAGAAAAAGATTTTAGAGCCTAATAAGTAGTTTAATATAAGTAGTAGTCTTTCTAATAAGTAGATCTATTATAAGATAGAAGATAACTAAGTAGACTCTGTGTACCTCTAGTCTAGGTCTGTATAGTGCCTGTAGAGTTACTATTCTTAAGATTTATAGTGCGCACTAGATAGCGTAGGCTAAAGGCTATTAAATTAACTTCTTTATTATAGGCCTAAAGCTAAATTTATTATATACCTTTTCTTTTCTTATTATAACGTACTAGTCTATTGTAAAAACACGCGTCTTTATATTTAGCTTTAAAATAATCTAGCGTCTTAGTCTTAAAGAGTTTAAGTAGGTTAATCTATATTAGCGTAATATAGCTAGTCTACTTTACTAAGACCTTCTACTAGCTCTAACCTAGAGCATTTTTTACCTACAAAACTTTCTCTACTATCTATTTACGCAAATTCTTATTATTCTTATATAAGTCTACTGCGGGCTCTAGTTATACGTCTGTTAGTAGCTAGCTTAGCAGAGAATCTACTACTGCCTACTCTACTAGATCTATATAGATAGTCTTATATAGGTTTCTAGGTAGGTCTAAGGTAACTATAAGAGAGAATAGCACTACTATTATAGCGTACTTTGCTTAGAGCTAGTCTAATTTCTTACTAAGCTAGTTTGTCTTAATATTACGTATAGAGAACTATACTCTATTACTAACCTAAAATTACTCTGTAGAGCAGCGCAACTAGTTTATAGCCTTCTATTACTACTACTAGGTAAAAATAATTATAGCTTAGGCTAGATTAAGCCTAGACTTTAGGTGCTCTATAAACTAGATAGCGCAGCTCTTAGAGGTATGCGTAGACCTCTTCTAAGGTAGAACCTACTATAGCGTCTCTACTATATATCTATTAAGTAGTAGGTTTAGGCTAACCTCTATAACGCTTAAGTTATAGTTGTTTAAGGTAAGTTAACACGCTAGAAGGTAATTAGGCTAGTTAGTCTATTTAAAGTTTACTATTACACGCAGTACTACCTATACCTTCTAGTTTATACGCTCTATACCTCTATTAGTCTAGAGGTAGTGTAATATTAAGAGTAGCTAGTCTACCTTTATAAGCTTATATAAGGTAGTCTAGAAAGCCTCTAACTAGTTAGAGCTATAGTCTGTAATAAGAGCTAAGAGAAATCTATAAAAACGCTACTAGTAGTTGTAGAATACCTGCGCAATATAGTCTAAAGCTATAGAAGAAACTACTTCTAACTAGATAAATTTTAACAGGCAATCTGTAATAACTAAAAGATACTATAGTAAGGTCTTATTACAGGCTAGTAGTTCTATTATAAAGTCTATTAAGATCTGCTACTAGTACCTATCTACTACTAGAATAGGCTATAATAGCTTTTAGCGCTTCTTCTAAGAGAAGTAGACAGCGTAGTAGTAGTAATTTCTAATATAATACGCAACGTTGCTTAATATACTATTCTAGTAATAGTTTTAGCGTATATAGTAGAAAGTAACATTCTTCTCTAGATACTCTACTAGGCCTAACTTGTAGGCTCTCTAGATTACTATTATAGTAAGTAGCTTCTAATTTAGTAGCTATAAAACGCCTTTCTAAAGTAGTGTACTATATACGCTAATAGCGTAGTCTCTAATTTACTAAGTTATATTAGCCTTAGGCAGAAAA